AATACCTGTCACCATATTGCAATAACTTCGGTATGCAAAATATCCTGAGAAAGAAGAAACAGTCCTCCTCCATGAGGCTTTTCTGCAGTAACGCGGACATGATGCACAACTTAGGAGAACCCAGTAACAAAGTGCACACAATCAAGTAAACGGGCCAATTTGGTTCAGCCTAGCCCACAAAATGAGAGCAGAGAATGCAGAGGCCTGAGATTCAAAAGCCCCGGGGTCCGGTTAATAACCACGTGCCCTTGCCCAAATTATGGCGCCTCTCTGAGCTCCAGCTTTACTTGTAAAATAAGAGAGTTGGACTAGAATACTAATGAACCTTCCAACCTTGATTTAGGAGAGTAAAATCGAATAGTGGTTGTGATAAGCTGAGTAATGCATTCCCTGCCACCCCCACTCCTGCCCCACAAAAGACGTCCACATCCCCAAGTCCCTGGAACCTGTGAATATGTTATCTCACATGGCAAAAGGCACTTTGCAGTGATGATGAAGTTCAGGACCTTGAGAGAGAGACAGAAGGAGAAGACATGAGGATGGAAGTAGAGGTCAGAGAGGAGAAAAGATACTAAATTGCCAGCTTTGAAGAGGGGGGAAGGGGTCATGAGCCAAGGAATGCAGGCAGTTTCTAGAAGCTGCAAAAGTCAAGTAAATGGATTCTCCCCTAGAGCCTCCAGAAGGAACAAAGTCCTGCAGACCCACTTTAGACTTCCAGCCTCTAGCACTGTAAATTAATAAGTCTGTGCCGCTTCGAGCCACTAAATTTATGGTAATTGGTTATAGCAGCAATAGGAAACTAATTTAGGTTAAGAACTTGGGTGCTACTATCAGACTATTTGAGTTTAAATCCTTCTTCTATTATTCACTGGATAGGGGAACTTCCACAAATGACTTCAACTCTCTGCACCTCGGTTTCGTCTTGAAAAATGGGATGATATGGCACCAGCACCAAACCTGCTGGGTTATTCTGAGTTTACATGAGGAAATCCTGAGGACCATCTGGAACTTAGTATACTACCTTTAGATAAATGTAATCATTGTTCTGCCAAATTTTATAATTTAGGATATTAGCACCTCGTTTCCTATAAATCAATTATTTCTTTTTATGTAGTCACTGAGGAAGACGGGTGTAGGAGCATTCACTTTTTTTTTTTTTTT